TTCTGGTGATGAGCCAGCTTTAGATACCCCACCGCTAGTTGGCGCAGTGAACGCCACAACATCAGTCCAGCATTTCAATTCATTGTAATGGTGGAAATTGATTTGACATACAAGTAATTTGAGTTACGAGCTCCATCATGGAACGAATTAAACTCGTAAGTCAAGGCCCCACTGTAAGTAGGTAAAAACTATAAATAGGTGAAATATAGTCACAGGAATGTAAACATTTGAATAAAACCTAATAATGAAAATCTGTTTATAACTTAATTGAGAGTGACCGGTATTGGAAAACAATTTTCTTTAGATTTAGTTTAAAATTTACCTGACCACTGTCTTCATATTGAGCTTTCTAAATGCTTTAAAAATATTCTAATAGACACACCTTTTAAGGACTTTGTTTTGAAGCACTGCTATGCACAGACTGATGTGTCTGTCGTCTCCCTTCTACATTGCCTTTCTCTTAAATTTCCGTGCTGTAAAATCTCAGCATAGGGGTCCTTTAGTTAGGTTTGCTGGGAGCAGTATTTCACTGCCCCCCCCCCTCCCCACAGGCTGCTCTCAGGGGCTGCAAAACTTTCCTCCAAAGCACAGCACCGCTCAGCAGCCGGCGCGAGGCTCATGGCAGCACATGTTTTCAGGGGAAAGGCTTTGAAAACGCACACGTTCCCCCTTAGCTTCTCGGCATGAAAGCCACCGAGAAATAGCACCGTTATTCATCCCGTTTACTTTTCCGTCTCACTGACAGGTCCTCCATGGGGTGCGCACTGGAAGGCAGGGCGGGTGACTCAGTTACCTAAATGCTGCCCCGTCCCGAGGGGCATGGGCTGTTCTGAGAGGCCATCTAACAGAATCGCAGGTTTCCCCGGTCTTAGAGTTGATCCAAACCAACACCCACTGTTTCCGACGTTGCTAACTGGGGCCATGGCTCAGGGGAGGCAGGGCGGACCTCCAGTGGGACTGTCCCCAGTCACCCACCGCTACCCACCCAACCCCCTCTCTGGCACCCAGGGCGGCCCTTTAACCAGCAGGCGCCACCCACACCTGTCTCTTCAGAGGGTCGAATGCCCAAAACAGTTGATTTTCTCGCCACTACTGTGAGCGTCCTTTTAATGTGAAACCAAATCGGAGCAGCGTTTCCTTTCACCGCTTCAGAGACCCAGCTGGGAAGGCCCCCCGGGGCCTGCGGCGCTGCGCTCGGCGGGGTCACCGCTCCTTAGCCTGCGCCCAGGGCGATGCTGCGCCCCACGACCCGCAGGCCCGGCGATTCGGAGGGTGGGTGAGGGAGGGGGAAGGGGCAGAAGGCATGGGGACTGGTCCCCGGCCCCAGACCCGGCCGACCGCCTGGCTCGCCGCTGCCGCTACTAACCAAGCAAAGACCAGAACAGCAGAGAACGGGATGTGATCAGGAGACGGAAAACACACACTTAGTCTTCCCCAGAGCCGGTGACTTGGTGACTTTCTGACTTCCGGTAAAGGGCTGGTGACCTCGCATGGCTTTATGGGAGATGTAGTTGAAGGTCCAAGGCTGGGCGCCACCCTAGAAGGGGTGGGGTTTGAGGGGAAGACAGTCCTATTGCACAGGAGTTCCAGGCTAGGACAACAGGCTTCCGGGAGGTGAGTGAAGGGTTGGTGAGTCTTCCAGGTGAGATGTGTGGAGTGTGGTGCTGGCTTGGGAAACTCAAGGTCTGTGGAATGGACTTAAGTTTTCCAGTAGTCTGCACCAGTCGATAGAGTCCAATGCAATGGAGTGTTCAAAGCATTCTTTCATGTTAAAGAAAGCTGGAATATGACCTGGACCAAGACTTTCCAGTACATGACCTTACATAAGCTGTTGGCCTCTGAACCTCAGCCTCCTCGTGTGAAAAATGGTGGCATGTGTTGATGCCCACCAAGTGCCCATAACACACCTTCTTGGGTTGCTGTGAGATTTAAATTGGATAATGCACGCAGTGCTCAGTCTATAGCTAGTACCCTCAACACAATTATTATTGCCGCTGTTGTTTATGATGCTCCAAAACCTACAGACGTTATGTGCGTCCGAGATGACAAAGGTAGGTGTTGGCAGTCTTCTAACTTCCAGATTTTTTCTTTACTAAACCGTCTCTTGGGCAATCAGCAACAATTAAGGAGTCAGGAGTTCTACACCACATGGCCAGCGATAGTCAAGGTGAGGAAAGGTCACCCTATAATATACTGTGTTTCCAGTTTTGTCTGTTGCTAGGCATCCGGAGCTTTGGCCCTGGTGACCTTCTGTACCTGGCCTATCCTTTCTACTCTGCTCTTGTCTAACTACCCAATATATCAATTAGAAGCTTATCATAGTGAAGTTTTCTGTTCTCGTCAACATTGTACTTTCACAACTGCCCTTTTTAGCTTCATTTATGCTTCTGTCCGTCAGTAGTTGCTGTCAGTCCTTAATGATTTCTGTGATTAGGCAAGAGGTTAGAAATACTAAGTTTTAGTTAATTCACTAGGAATATCCAATCTTGCTATTCCAACGTATGTTAAGTAAACAAATTAATAAAAAAAGTTAATATATTATTAATATATTATAATATAGCATAAATAATTATTAATATATAATCTTTCGGTCCTTTAGATTCTTTTGAAGTAAATTCTAGATACCATGTTATTTTACTAATAAATATTTAAGAATACAACTTTTGTAATTATGAATATATATATAATATAAAAGGTATTTAAAAACATTACTACAATATCATTAATGCAACTTAAATTTTACAATAATTCTGTAATATGAGACATTCAGTATCAAATTTTATCATCTCACAAATTTTATTTTACATGTTTTACTCAAATCAGAATCTAAACAAAATCTCCACATTGCACTTGATTTGATCATCTTTTGCTTTATGGAATTTCCCACATTCTGAATTTTGCAAATTGTATTCCTATGATGTCCTTTCTGCTGTATTTCTTGTCAATTGGTAATTAAATTTACAGGACTATCCAGATTAAGCCTTTTTTTTTTTTCCCCAAAACGATTTCATAGGTGTTATTATTTCCTTCCTGTTGTATTACATTAAGAGGCAAATACTGTCTGGTTGTCTCTCTTTTTGTCATGTTATAATTGGTTATTGAGTTCAGATGTTATAAACCTGATAAAGTTTGTGATAAATTTTTTTCATGGATTTTTCAGCTAATAGTTTTAGCAGTCATTGATGATTATCACATAGGTCCATTATTTCATTTAGAGTTTTAAAATGGTGCTATTCCAATTTGATTATTCATTCTACATTTACTCACAAATTCTTTTATAATAACTTTGCCTCATTAAATATCTGTACAGTTATACAGGAAGATTAGAATAAATGTGTAGTTTTCTCCTTTATTTCCTAGTTTTCAGAATAATGAGCTAGTTCCTTATTGTCCTTCAAGTTTTTAAGTATGTTTATGAACTCATGGATGTTAAAATTTTAAGTATCTTTTATGTCATTGAAGATATTATTTAAAAAGGATTTTAATAATATTTATTATTTTGATGTTCAAATTGTTTCTTCTTTGGCTAGTGAGAACCCCTCAAGTGGGCTAAATTCTTATGACCACGCCACAATAGTGTTTAATAGCTTACTTCCTTTCTGGCATGAAAACGTATTTTACATTCAACTCGTAAATATTCTGGACAGATGCTGCCTGGCCATTGTGGCTCGTTGAACATTGTCCATGCACCAAGAGGTCATGGGTTTGATTTCTGTTCAGGGCACATGCCCAGGTTGTGGGCTTTCCTTCCTCCCTTCTAGTCTTTCTAAAAATCAATGGAAAAAATATTCTTGGGTGAGGATCAAAAAAATTTTTTTAAAATTTTTATGGAATTTATTGATATGACATTGGTTAATAAAATTATATAGGTTTCAAACGTGCACTTTGATAATATATCATCTGTATATTGTATTGTGTGTTCACCACCCAAGGCAATCTCTTTCCATCACCATTTATCCGCCCTTTTCCCTCTTCTACCTCCCCCCACTCCCTTTCCCCTCTGGTAATCACCATGCTGTTGTCTGTGTCTATGAGGTTTTCTTGTTTTGTTTTGTGTTTGTTAATCCTTTCACCTTTTTCTTCTAGCCCCCCAGCTTCCCTCCCCCTGACAGCTGTCAGTCTGTTTTCTGTATCTATGAGTCTGTTTCTATGCTGTTTGTATATTTTGTCCACTAGATTTTACATGTAAGTGAAGTCATCTGGTATTTGTCTTTCTCTGACTGTCTTACTTCACTTCAGATCCATCCATGCTGTTGCAAAAGCATAAGTTCCTTCTTTATTTTTTTTTACTCGAGTAATGTTCCATTATGTAAATAAATATACCATTTTATCCTGCAAATTTAGTGAAAATCCTTTATCACTTTCCCTTAACCAGAAAGAAAATTGATTTTATGGCAATATAGAAATAAAAGTTTATGTAGATAATTTTACTTGGTAATTAATCTTATACTGTTTAGAGGTATGTCTTATTTTTGCCACACATTGCTTTTAAATTTTTGTATTAACACTTTATATATATTTGCCTTTTTTCTCTAATAAATTATAAAATTTAAAATTAAGAGTGTCAGATATTTTAAAAAAACCTTCTATAGTAATAGCTGCTTTATTTCACATATAAGGCACTTAACAGTTGGTGGTTGATCAGGATGAGGTATGCTGGGAACTATGCTTTAACTCACACAATGTAGAGGTGAATTCATTAAAAGTGAGGGGATCCTGAGCTCCACATACGGTCCTTGATAGGAGATAATTTCACATGTAACTAGAGATAGGGGCATGTACAATTTACATACATCATACAAAAGTTCTACATTTTTGAATACACCAAATTTGCTCTTTTCCCTCCTTTTAAAATACTCTTCAGGCAGATTTCCCGGGCCCCTCTCAAGAGTACCCCCCGCCCTAGATAACTGCTCTTCTGATTTCTATCTCCATAAATTAGCTTTGTCAGTTTTCTTTTTTAAATTTAGGTATAATTGACACACAACATTTTATTAGTTCCAGGTGCATACATAATATTTGGTAGTTGTATATATTGTGAAAGGATCACTACAGTAAGTTTAGTTAACATCTGTTACCATACCTAGTTATAGAATTTTATTTTTTTGTAACGACAACTTTTAACATGTATTCTCTTAGTAATTTTCTATTATGCGATACAGTATTATTAACTATCATCATGCTGTACATTACATCCCCATGACTTACTATATAGCTGGAAATTTGTACCTTTTTATTCCCTTCACTGCTTTTGCCCACCTCTCACCTCTGGCAACCACCAATATGTTCTCTGTATCTATGAACTTGGATTTTTTTTATTTTAGATGTTAACTGTAGGCTTGTCATATATGGACTTTACTATGTTGAGGTACATTCCCTCTATGCCCAGTTTCTTGAGAGCACTACAAAAATTCCATATTTCGACCTGAATGGTTTAATCTGGCCATAGATATATGTATTTTTTTCTTGTTGTACACTCAAAGATTTATGTGTTATAAATTTAGATTTATGCACTTTATTGTATGTAAGTGATAAAAATAAATAAAATGGAGATATCTAAAAAATACTCTTCCCTTAGATTTTCTAATTGCAGTCTCCTTCTTGCCATTCATATAACACTCAAATATTTTTAGAGGACTTCTCTGATCACCCAGTTTACAGTAACTCTCCTACCAATATTTTCTTATTTTTGGCATCATTATTTTTGATAATTCTTGTTTATGATGCTTATTTATTGTTTTTCCCTATTAGAATGTGAACTACTACATGAGAAGGCTCTAGTTTATCTCACTTACTGCTATTTTCTCAGTATTTGGAATTTTGATTGGTAAATGGGAAATATTAAGTGCATATTTGTTGATGTTGAATAAATGGTGGTTTTCATATAAAGTTAAATATATTTTTATGTTGCTGCCATACCTGGGAGTTAGGATTTCTCCATAACATTGAACAGGCATGCATCTAACTTTCTGTGGTCATGTTTATTTGTGTGTTTATGGAATTTAGTCAGGGAAATAATTGATCTAGTTGTTCCCTTGTCTCATTGTCTAGTGAAGTAAAGTAGATGATAAACAATTGCATGCTCTATAATAGAGTGAAGACAAATGAAAACACATTTACAGGCCAGGGTTAGAAAAGGTGTAGTGGAGACTTAAAGTGCTTACCAGTGTCTTATTCCCTCTCTTTCCAGAGCTTCTTTACAGCTAGGCAATGCACTGTGCACACAAGGGGTGCTCTTCTGGGCCAAAGCACTCAGGAGAGAGTAGATTGCCCTCTAGATCTTTGTTACCTTGTATGGCAGGCTAGGTATGGAATGTGAAGATGACTAGGTCGCCAGGAGCTAGGATTGGCATTCTTTCTTGGGAGGGAGCTGCCATGGGGAGCTGCCAGGGTCGCAATGGACTTTGCATGGGCAAGAAATAAACCTTTTGGGTTACACCAC